ATCTAGTGCAGCCCAGCGTTTTTACGACCGCATAACAATAAGTTTATATATCGCAGGGGTTATCGTGGAGAGTGAGTGCACGACCAGTGACACCTGACACGCACGTAATCAAAGCTGTTAACTGACTTCGTCACTTTTCTTAATGTAGAAAGTGGACTACTTTTATTCAGTTAGATATCTAGAAGCAATGTAAACTGTATATATATATACTTATAAAGATTCTAGGCACTTGTAACTTCGCGGATGTGCGGCAGCATTGATCGATGCATGGGGGTACGGAGGACTGGGGCACTGCATGGCAGCAAGATCAAGTCCGCACCTGCAGCTACAGCACACACGCATCTATTGACTATATATAACAACGTTATATATAGTTGTTATATATAGTTAATAGATGCGTGTGTGCTGTAGCTGCAGGTGCGGACTTGTTCTTGCTGCCAGTGCCCCAGTCCTCCGTACCCCCATGCATCGATCAACGCTGCCGCACATCCGCAAAGTTACAAGTGCCTAGAATCTTGAAGTATATACAGTTTACATTGTTTCTAGATATCTAACTGAATAAAAATAGTCCACTTTCTACGTTAAGAAAAGTGACGAATTCAGTTAACAGCTTTGATTACGTGCGTGTCAGGTGTCACTGGTCGTGCACTCACTCCCCACGATAACCCCTGCGATATAAAAACTTATTGTTATGCGGTCATAAAAACACTGGGCTGCACTACATACCCACAATGCCGCAATCGATTTCTTAGACCGTCGGGAGTTTTTGTTTGTGTGGCGAATCATGCGTTGAGGGAGTTCATGCAGCTCTAGATGTTTTGGATACCCCGTCTACGTTGAGGACCGGGTCGTATTATGCACTCCCGTTTACAAGTCTGTCTAACGTTACGCGTTCGTAACGTTACGTACTGCGTAACGTTACATACTCGTACGTAACGTCAAGCGTTACTACGTTGCGCTAACCGTAGTATTTCAGCTTAATATGAGGGGAAAACGTGCCGGTCAGGAGGACCGGGAGTTTCGTAGAGATGGTGGCCCGAGCAAAAACTTGGTGGGCTCGGGCCTCCGGGTCCGAACTAATTTCTAACGCTGCCGGCGGCACGGGAGCGATTTTTTCTCGTATCTCTCAAATTTATTGCTCTTGTAATTGTTGTTACCAGAGCGCTTTGAAAGCTGACGGGAGCTAAATCGCTCGCTGCTCCCGTGTATTTTATTCGCTGGTGACTGCAGACAATAAACCCGCATCCTCAGATTAGCAAAGCGGAGTTATAAAGTCTGCATTTGCGGACTAGTATGACTCATGACATGTGTCGGTACGCTGTGTGTCAGTGAGTCACTTACTCAAGACAGAGAGAACAATCAACATTGTTAACATTCCTAGCCGGCAGCAGTCGGTACACGTACCGTAAACGTAGACTATGCAAGATAGTATCGGGAGTGAAAAAAATCATTCATTGTGTTTGATTCCTTCCTGATAGTATAGTGTAGTCTAGAGATACTAACACATATTAGTAATAGATGGTACTGATTCAGTGATTGAGTCAGTGATCACACTGGTAGTAATATCACTATCAGCAGTGTCGGACTAAGTCTAGTTTAGCCACTGACAGCAAGAACAAGTTCGCACCTGCAGCTACAGCACACACGCATCTATTGACTATATATATACAACGTGGTGCTTAAAGTGATTATTGCGAGTTTTTTGGCTCAGAAAAACGAAATATAGCTGAATATAGTCTCACCTGACAGTGGAAATATCACTGATTACACCAACATTAAAAACACCAAGATTTTATGCAGTTATAGCATAGAAAAATTGATTTAACCACATCATACCAGCAATAAATTTTATCGTGTCACGACTTTCAAACATAAGAAATGGCGTCTCAAACAAGCAAACATAATTAAAATAAAAGGGCGTGCAATTCTGTTTGGTAAATATTATTGAGTTTTTATGTCAATAATTCAGAGTCATTGTCATTCCCTGTGTTACTATCTGACTGGCAATCCACAAGCTTCTCTAATAACAGACTTTACGTGGCATTAGTACTACACTGCTGTTACGCTAGTATGAACGTCTGCGTTTACACTCTGACCTGATTTCTACAGTGCATGGTATGCATTGCTGCACCGTGATAGATGTCTCGCGCTACCGCGAGAAAATTCGAGATGGCAACGGTAAACAGAAACAGAACGCAAAATTGTAATCGTGCATGATTTCATTGGATTTGGTGAACACGAAGGTTCTAAGACATTTTATCATAACTCTAGACAATTGCTGTTACTCAAGCAATAACGGTAGGTATCATGAAAGTGGGGAAAACACTGGAAAATTCTTGCAATAGATGCTTTAACTCGCCGCCTCACTTTCCACAACTCACCGTTTTCAATCAGTTACAACTCCGGTGTTCCTGCAGGTGACGCCACTTTCCAACTATCGTTGGAATCGCGAAAGACTGCTTAACAAGCTACACCCGCCATTTTTGACAATTTACATTAACTGCGCAACGGGAGCGAACGCGAGAATTTCGTCAGGCTTTGTGTGATTTCGCGTGACACAGCTCGGTTACGAACACAGACAGTATGTTTTTATAACAAGTGAACACTGTCCTTCGTGAATTTGAATTTGAAATTGTCAGCAATAATAGGTGAAAGACAGTAGAGAAACATTAAGACTTTGGTAGTAAATAGATTTCGTATTTATTTAGCATTATATTCTATTGAAATGCTCCAAGTGCCTGTGTGTCTGTCATTTCGTATTGAAATTCTTTCCCTTCCGCTTAAAGCGATCATTGCGAGTTGTTTTCAGCGTTTTTTAGTGTTTATTCTCACTCTCATGATGCCTACCGTTGTTGCTTGAGTAACAGTAATTGTTTGAAATAACAATATAATGTCTTAGAACCGCATGCAAAGACAAAATCATGCACGATTACAATTTTGCGTTCTCTTGTTGATTTTCGCTGTCATGTCTCGCACTTTCTCGCGGTACCGCGAGACATCAACAAGGGTACAGTAATGCAAACATTGCACCGGAGATATTTTTGGTCAGATGTAAACACAGAGGTGCATAGTAGCATAACACAAACAAGAGTGTAAGTTGTAACCTAATAAATATTAGTCTTCAAAAGTCCTAGGGACTATAACGAATACGGAGAGAGAAGTGGATCAAATCCTCGTTGCGTACCGCCAGCGAGAATACTTATCACACTCAAATAGATGCCCCCTTGTTTTAATTATGTTCGCTTGTTTGAGACGCCATTTGTGATTTTTGAAAGTCCTGACTCGAAAAAATGTGTTGCTGGTTACTGGTATGATGTGGTCAAATCAATTTTTCTATGCTATAACTGCATAAAATATTGGTGTTTTGAATGTTGGTGTAATCGTGATATTTTCAGTGTCAGGTGAGACTATATTCAGCTATATTTAGTTTTTCTGAGCAAAATTCTCGCAATGATCGTTTTAAAGCCTGCCGCACACGCTGTGTTTTGTGCTGCGCCATCGGCCACGCGTGGCTGATGGCGCAGCACAAAACACAGCGTGTGCGCGTGCAAACGCATCGATTTCTTGCGTGTGGAAAATATCACACGTGTTTGATATTTTCTTCCACGTGTGGCAGATTCCACAGCGTGTGCTGAGTGGCTGTGTCAAGTTCCACACCGGCTCTATGTAACCGACCAATAGCAGCAGGTCAAGCGAGTCACGTGATCTTAACTTGCGGTTGCAGCGCGGTTGCACTGCGGTACACGCACGTACACGCACGTACACGCGTGTACGTACAGATACACGCGACGATACACACAGATATCACGCAACGTACACGCAATACACGCACGTGCACGCAGGTATCACGCACTACATCGCGGGCTACACAGAGATTACACGCACGTACACGCGGGGTACCACGCACGGTACACGCCGGGTACACGCACGTACACGCAGATACAACGCCCCACGTGCGGTGTACAACCGCCTGTAACGTAGCGTGTATCCTCCGTTGTACCAGCGTGTACGTGCAGGTATCTGTGTTCACGGCGTCTAGCCCCCCTGTAAATGTCGTGTGATCCGCTCTGTACCGCTGTACGTGCGTCGTCACGCGCTGCGTTACCCGCCAGTGCACGTGCGATACGTGCCGTGTTGTAATATGTGTGTCACTGTGTCCTCGGTGATATCTACGTGCTACGCTGCGTGTAACCGCGTGTACGTGCGCTGTACGCTGCGGTAGTATCTCCGCGTGTACCCGCCGTGTACGCTGCGTGTATCTGTGTGTAGCGTGCGTGTACCCGCGTTACCTGCGTGTATCCGCATGTACTGCGTCTGTATCTGCATGTACCCACGTGTACGCTGCGGGCTACCGCAGTGTACCGTGCGTGTACGTGCGTCGTATCTGTCGTGTTAGTGACCGTGCTACCCGCCAGCCTGGCGTAGCCTAGGATTTTTCCCAGCGGCACGTGCAGCACTAAGCGCGGGGCCTTACATTTTCGGCGGCGGGCGCACAATATATAATTTTGACTAAGATGTCGTTCCGAACCACTCGCTTGTATTATACTGGTCTAACCGGCCATTGCTTTTTAATTCAAATTCTTTTTTGTATGAAGCCGATGAACTTTTCACTGGGGGCACCTGGGGCGGGCACAGCCAAAGTTTCTACTCATCTCTGCGGGCAGCGGCCCGTGCCATCTGCCCGCCTCCAGCTCGCCTATCCCTTACGCCCCTGGTACCCGCGATGCTACCGTGCGTTATCCGCGTGTACGTGCGTGGTAACCGCGCTGCTACCCGCCATGTACCCAGTGCGTGTACGTCCGGTTCCTACCCCGCGTGCACGTGCGTTTACCCTGCATGTTTACGTGCGTGTATGTGCGATTACGTGCGTGCTTACCGCAGTGCAATCCGCGCTGCAACCGCAAGTTAAGAATCAACGTGACTCGCTTGACGCTGCTGCTATGGCCTCGGTTACATAGCAGCCCGCGTGTGGAACTTGACACACCGACACCGCCACAACCCACTGCTGGGAATCTGCCCACACGTGGAAGAAAATATCAAAACACGCTGTGTTATTTCACACGCAAGAAATCGATTTTGCCGTCTTGCACGCGCACACGCCTGCTGTTTTGTGCGCCCCATCGCGCCACGCGCGCCAGCACAAAACCACAAGCCGTGTGCGCAGGCTTAAGTAAATTGCAAAATTTGAGGCTACTTATCTACTGTGTGGATCCGCAGTATTGATCTGTCTATTTGATCAACTTGCTCTCTTTCCGTCTTTGAATATATAAGGTCCCCCGGGACTTTGATGACTATGTGTTTTACGAGTTACCGCAGTCAGTGGTTAGTGGCCCCATTACTAGTCGGGGTGATGTGGGTAGTTGTGGACAGACAGTAGTAGTAGTCCCTGTGCGCTACCAGTATCGGTCGGGTAACTTCATTAGAATACCGTAATTGATAATATAGCCTTGTAGCCTAGGTTCGTGCTAACCAATTAAGAAACATAACAACATTAATCATTTTTTTCGATGCATAAAGTTAGAATCGCCCCACTGCCTATAGCCAATTATACCTAAAAGACAACAAGGCGCAATAGATTTCGTGGATGTCTCTTTTTTGCTACTCATGGCCATTATTACAATGTACAGTTCTGTAGCTAGACCTTTTATTAAACTTATATTTGTCTCTGGCCATTATCGAATAAACTAGTTCCTCACCCAGTTACAAAGAAGTCGGCAAATTGCTTAGATCTGCCTGATCAATTATCATTTATCTCTCGTATCTCAATAATGATGGCCAGTTTAGTCGTGGGCGCATAACCCTTTGCCCCCCCACTCATTCGAAATTATTGTTTAACGCAAGCTATATGGCCCTGCGTTATCGATTAGCGGCATTGCTGCCCGCGTTCATCTTGTAATGTTATAGATTTGATGTTTCGTTGCAGTTTCGCTTGATTGTACACCTGGCCTCGATTATTCTGTTAGCATAGCCATGCGTTCGGTCTTTTGTAGATGCAGCCAGGTTGCCTGTAGCAACCGAGTTGCAACCCTTGTCTTGGTTCGCCTTGCATTTCTGAGACAGAGAGCTGTATGATTTCCAATAACTTCCTATTAGTTTTTCATGGTTGCGGGTTTGGTGAAAAATCCTAGCAGATGGTAGAATTTTAATTGTTTAATTTCACTGGGTTCTTACATATAATACAGCGCCAGCGTATGTTAGCACCTGCGATCTCAGCCTTGCATCACCGATCTGAACTCTCTAAGATCGTTCCTCATCGATCCGAGGCAGGAACTGCATCTTCCAGAACTTTAATTGGAAACTGAAAAGTACTGTTTGCGTCACATATCCGCGCAAAATTGCCTTGTCCTGAAAAAAATAGTTTCTAGGGGGGGCGGCGGGGGGTGCCGATCATTCACGCAATTGTGGGAATAGTTAGTTTCTACATTTCAATTCTGCGGTTGTTATAGGTGCCTATTGAGTCGGCTGCTTCAGTTGTAAACTTAGACAACTGATGGCGCGGGTGGGGAATTGTGGCAATTTTATAAATTCAGCGCAACATAGCTGCAATTAGCGAAGGGATTAGGTACAAATGCGTATAATTATAATTCGCCTGTCAGAAAGATGAACATTGCCATGTAGAGAAATGAGAACAATCGCCGAAAACTTCGTTCCTGTTGTCTGCGCGCAAAATGCATTTTTTTAAGCTTCAATGGCCGGAACTGGAATTGCTTAAGAGCGTATTGGTTTAAAAAAGATTCTGCATACCCATATACTACTTACATAGCTTTATCGTAAAAGAAATATCAGTGTCATCGCACAATCACACTCGCTCTTTGAAAAGAAATTTAAGTCAAAGCTCATATTCCCAGTGTTGAACAATGTAGACACTGGGCACTTGTGCAGTCCAGGATATAACTCTTATTTGAGTTTACAAGAAGACGTGGGTATCTCGTAAAATGCCCTGATCGCTGCCACACTGCCTATTACTTAGAGCAACTGTGTTCTGTAGCATTCTGCAATAAGTTATAACTAAACTAGATCCATCCTTCTTTCCAAAATTGAAGATTGCATAAACTGGAATTTTTTACATTTATTTCACATGGCCCCCCTATAAAAAGTCTTTTTTTTTCTAACGGTTGCGAAAATTCAAAAATTATCGTAATTAACGAATTCAATTAGTTCT